ATAAAATATCAAACATGACGCTACTCAAACGCTCTATTGCCTCTTAGACTATGGATTATGTTTTTCCATCCTCTAAGTATTGCCTCCTGATTAGTTAAATTGGTCTAAAGATCTTGTAACCGGGCCATAAATCTTTATAAAAAAAAAAATATTTGTGCTTGGCCCGTAGAAGGAGAATTGAGTTCTACGGCTTGGCCACTTCTATCCTATCTTTTTGGTTTTTTGTTTCGTGGTGTTTGTTTGACTTTCGTCTAAATATATGAAGAGGCTGTATGGTAGAACCTTTGCCTACCCAAATAAATGGGTGAAAATTTATTTAAGCAAAATTGGGTTTGTGTCATGGATTGAGCAAAATACACATTATATATTGATTAAGTGTATCATTATTTTATTTACGCCCTTAGAATAATAACGCATAGAATGATAGTTTCATATGAAACGAACTGTCACAAGTGAGGCAAAAATCAAATTCATGTAGGCGTAAGCAACTTGTATCTACGCTCGTCGGCACGCACCCAAATATACAAATAATGATGCCATGGAATAACATTTCCCTCAAAAATAGGGAAATTGTATCTTGCTTAACTCTTCGTTCAAGTTCCATCACTAAGTTAAAGGTGCCTACAGATTTGCCTGACATTGTCGATCAGGTGCCTACAGATTTGCTCGATTTTGTCGATCGTTACTGTCGATCAGGTGCCTACAGATATGCTCGGTTTTGACAATGTCAAGTGACAAGAATTTTCAATAATTTATTTTTGGTAATCCTTATGGAAATGGCATTTATATCTGAATACACGATGACGGACACGACTTTTCAAATAAATGCAATATGGGAATCATCTTCGAGGTATTCGAGGTGCTCATTACGAATATTACACTCATTTCTAAATCCAATTCTTGAGCTGTTCGCGGTGCAAATTGACCTTGAGCACTGACGGCCCGCCCGTTCGTGTAGGCCCATTGGGCGCGCTTCAATTTGCCTCACTTAGCGTGTGCGGACTAGGTTTCTATGCGTTATTATTCTAAGTTTACGCCTAGAAAAAGCATTGTATGCAATCATTACATAATTAGTTTTCTAAATCTCGTACCTACTACTTAGGCCACACAGCAAAGCCTCGTGGCCTAAACATGGTACTCGACTTTAAGGACCCACCCTCATTATGGAACGATTGCATAAAATACTATAATATGTAAATTGTGTTTCGAAAAAACACAATTTTTCAAAACTTACGTTTCCTCCTCCGTTACCATGCCGAACGGTTACCATGCCGAACTGCCACGCAGAGGTCCCAGGTTCGATTCCCGGGCCGGGAGAAATATTTGTATGGCCTACAATTATTTCTCTCGTGAGTTCGGGTGTAATTTGTGGTTGTCTATATGTGTGTCCATGGCACTCGCGACACAGAGTTTCCCTAGTGCGGGGCTATGTTGAGTGTGTGCGTTATTTATTATTTATTACTCCATTTTCTTGGTGATAGTAATTTTTTTCTGACGGTGTAATTTGCTCTTTAGCTTGTCAATTGTTTAAAGTATGTAGAAAAATTATTACCTACCGGAGTTAATTAAATCGGAATGGTTTTTTATGAACACCTGTTGAACCATTGAAAGATCAGTCATTCGTAGAATTAATATTCATGACAACGGAACGGAATATATTATTATGACATTTGTAGAGAGGCTTTAGTTTCCCTACTTCGAACTTTGAATACAACGTAAAGTAAGTTCACTTACTTAAAAATAAACATTACGTGCTTTTATTCAATTAATTCGTTACACTTAAGTAGGTACGTAATCGCTTGAGCGACTTGTAGTGGGTGTGAAAATGAATGGAAAAATCATTAATAACTTGCGCTATGCAAATGACACTGATCCCTTCTACAAAGAGTGACCTACAAAATATCTTGGATAGAATAAACAGATGCAGTGAAGATGCTGGTCTCACAATGAACATATCAAAAACTAAATTCATGGTAGTTCCAGAAATCCTGACTTAGATTCAACTATATCAGTGGACGGTAAATATCTCGGCGCTTGGGTTAATGAAGCATGGGACTCGGATCAGCGTCCTGATTTTGACTCAAACGGGAATTGATCCGATCACCCGATCGGATCAATTCCCGAAGTCTCAAAATCAGATGGGTTTCTGAGCGAAAAGATGAACCTGATTTCTACTACATCTTTCTAATTTGTGAGTTAAATCAACTATTGTTCCGATTAGAAATATCAAAAGTTTCCGATTGGCCAGTTGTGAATCGCAATTATGCGCCTCGACTCGGAAAAGACGCAGTTTCTGATCGGGAGAGGCAATTAAAATCAAGCTGCAGGAGATAAAAACTCAGATTGAGATCGCCCGAGCATCTTTCATGAAAATGAAAAGGGTGTTGTGCTGCCGACAACCTTACATATAACTTAGAATTCGCATCCTCCACTGTTATATCTGGCTAATCGTTATGTACGGCAGCGAGGCTTGGACCATCAAAAAAGAAACCTGACGGCGTCTCGATGCATTCGAGATGTGGTGCTACCGCCGCATGCTTCGTATCAGCTGGATGCAGAAAGTCAAGAACGAGACAGAACTCCTGTGTATTACCACCTCACGCCAGCTGACGCGGATCATCAAGAAGCGCAAAATAACATATCTCGGGAAAGGTTGCAGACAAGAGACTCGCTAGAAGACGTAAAAAGTCATGGTTACGCAAGATAAGGGAGTGGACCAGAGTCACGAGCGCGGAACAACTGTTTAGTTTGGCCATGAATAGGGACAAATTTGCTATATTGACGGTCAACCTCCAATAGTGGAGAGGCACTTTAATAAGACGATATCTTAACTAGGTCAATATGTCAAATTTGGTTTATACATGCCTTATATTTACAAACAAATTCGGTCAAATGTCATGTTCAAATTTCAAATTGCGCAGTTTCGACACTTGTGAAGTCAAGCATATGATTTAACTCAGCATACTATTTGTTTAAAGATAGTTTTTGGTAGAAACTTGCGTGTACACTTAACTAGTAAAAGTGTTGAATTAAAAAAATAGTTAGTTAAAATTATTATAATAGTCAGTAGGTTGAAAATTTAATAAAAGAGTTTTGTTATTTATTAATTGGTTTTGTCTGTAAAGTTTTTAAGAGCCAAATTTCCAACAGCTAAATCTGAACCAGATTATCTCGCAGAATCCTCATGAGTTATGTAATCCCTCTTCAATTCATACGCACGTAATTCTGTAGTTTTGCTACATATATAGATCATGAACCTATTTGTACGTACCACTGCTGGGCACGGATGGAGACCCGTCTGAGAAGAGTTGTGAACCTTCTTCGTCGTACAGGTTACATCACCATATTTTCCTTCACCGAAAAAGTTAATTACTTAGGAAGAATTAATAATAATAATAAGAGGCGAAAGTCTAAAATAGATAACAATAATAATAACACACTTATAGCCCCGCACTCGGGAAACCCTGTATCGCGGGTGCCATGGACACACACATAGACAACCACAACTTACACCCAAACTCAGAGAAATAGATGTAGGCCATACAAGTATTTCTCCCGGCCTGAGAAATCGAACGCGAGACCAGCATGGTATCCGTTCAGTCACGGAGGCAGTTATATAATTTGAGACCGTATATAATTTTCTCGCGTGCATTATGTAGGTGTTGTCGCAAGAATTGTACATATTAATATTCAAATGTTGAACGTATGTGTTATCAGAAATATCTAATTTTGTATTAGCGTAATATTAGCGTATAATATGTGAGGTCGTGACTTTTTTGTTTCCACTTCGTAACCTTCACAAATAGAATGATTTACATTATCCGCTCAGAGGATTTCTATTGTCCTAGTTGTGACAGTATATTAATTATGTTGCAGTAGAGCTCCTTGTGAAAGAGCTCGCCCAAGGAAGTACTGCCACCTTACCTATTTCTGTCGCCAAGCGGTAGTATCAGAATTACTGGGTGCTGGTGAAATTACGGTCACATGGGCCTTATCAACTTATGTATCAAGTTCATGAGCGCAGCGAGTGCCCCTCATATCATTGCGATTTAAAGCTCTGAGTGGCACTGCAACTGCTATGGACAGGCGAATCGCTTACCATCAAGCGGTTGAATAGGTCATTCCGTCACTTGTTCTCATAAAAGTTTTAAAAAAATCACTGTGTGTCACAAACAAACGATGTAATACAAAACAGCAGCAGTCGCTACAAATGTTTTTGTACATAATATATTTCTATAGAGCTTTTTTAAGTTTAGTTCTTTAATTAAATCCAAAATTTATTTATTATAAAACATACGCAGTACAAAAAGATTTGTAGCGTCTGCTGCGATTCGCTACAAGCACTATGCCGAGGCTTCGTTCTTTTCATCAACTTAGCAATAGAAATCAGAATTACATGAGGTGTGTGATTTTCTATATGTATGTGTGTTTGATGGATAAAGTCCTATTTAATTTAAAGCTAGAAACCATTATCGACCACTGAACCTACCACTGTCAGCTGCTCATGTGATAAGTAAGCACCTTTACATATCACATGAGTAGTATTCAGATTGAAGGAGAGGAAGAGGGGCACCGGCGCACTCTGAGACAAAAGTTGACAAGTTCTATGTGCCTGTATTTTCACCAGCACCCTTACCGTTCAAAACCGGAACGTAAGTAATGTTCATGTTACTGTTCGGCGGCAGAAATTGGTAAGAAAACAGTACTGCCATCCTTATCATAATTAACGTAATCGACATTTTTAGCGAAATTGAGTTATTAACATATTTAAGCTCAGCGAAGAGAGTTCTACAACCTGCTCTAATTGGTTTTTTAATATCTTATTTAGTTTCAGTTTTATTGTTAAGCAAAGTGAGCGTAATTCACATTTTTTAGGTGACTAAACTTTAGGTGCCAATATAGTTACCGATGTGCAAATGCGTAAGTTATGATAAGGAGGGCAGAGTACTTTCCTCTTTTAAGCTAAAATAACATAAGGAAGTAAGCAATATAGAACTCACCTGTAATTTCCTTCGAATTCTTAGAAATCTCGTAGAATATGCAAGCGTAGCATACAGTAATGATGAGCAAAGGGAAGAAGTACATTGCGCATAAGCAAAACACATTATACGCTAATTCTTGGTGCTGACTCGAGAAAGCCTCGAAGGAAACACATTGATGAAAATCTGACACTTTTGGATGACTCATCACTCGGAACACTAAGCTCTGTGGACAAGGAATTTTGAATTAAATTAATGTGATTGTACATGTCGATACTGAACGTCGTTTAAGGTGCGTCAGAACGATACACAAAAGTATTATTTATTATACAGGTAAACAAAATATGTGGCGCTGACTCAACTGTATATATATAAAATAAAATTTCTGTGAATATTTTATATTCGTGAGTGTTAATGGTTATTTCCACTCGTGAACTGAACGGAGACCCGCTAACTTCTATAATGTGACTTTTAACTTAGTTTACACGAGTTAGAGTTTAAACTTTCAAAATATTATGAATATGTACAACGAATATGCTATGATATTGAATAATAGTACATACGATAATATACATTATTTCAATGTATTTTATATATTATTGGTCCATAACTGTGTAATTCTAACCATTGATGATTAAAGGGTACCGTATTGAGCTAATATATTATAAAATAATATTATATTAAATCCTTATGCCGTAAAAAGTATGAAGGACTCTTTATATTAAGACTGCACCGAGGCAGCGATACGTAATTGCGAAATACCATGCCGTACCGCCTGTACCACCTCTCACTTGAGACTTATGTAGTTCTCAGGTCGTGGAAGCTTGCAAACGTGCAACCTGTGCCGAAAAAGTGAAGCAGAGCTGACCCTGTCAACTATCGACCTATCGCAGTCACTTCCATACACTGCAAGACTATGGAACGTGTACTCAACAACCGTCTCCTATCGTACCTTGAATACAACGACCTCCTCAGTGATCGCGAGTACGGATTCCGACGAGGGCGATCTACTGGGGATCTTCTTGTGTATGCCTGTCACATATGGAGCGTGACTACAAAAAAGCAAGGCGAAGCATTTGCAGTGTCTTTGGACATTTCTGAAGCCTTTGACAGGGTCTGGCATGCAAGCCTTTTAAGTAAGATTTGACACTCCAGGCAGTCTACGATCTTGTCAAATTTAACGCTACCAAAACGCAGGCGTGTCTATTCTCTACAAAACGGTGTCCCTTTGAGTTCTCTACAAAACGGTGTCCCTTTGAGTTGACTCCGACTTTTCGTGATACATCCATACCGATAGCCGACTGTCTCCAGCTACTTGGAATGGACCTGACGTCCAATTTGAACTTCGGCAGATATATTTGAATCCGTGGTCAAAAATGCAGCAAGGAAGCTTGGGATCCTTTCCAGGGTGAGGCGTTACTTTAGTAGTTGCTTCAGCTGTACCAAGCACAAGTCCGGTCGTGTATGGAGTACTGCTGACACTTTAGGATAACTCTGCTACATATCAACTGGTCACTTTGGATTCAATTGACAGCCGTGTCAAGAGGCTTATAGGTGATTCGGAATTAGTGGAAGCGAAGCTGTAGAGTCTTGAACAACGTCGTAAAGTTGCCTGCTTATCGGTATTTTACAGGATATATCACGGAGAGTGTGCGATGGAATTATATGATTTAATTCCGCCTTCTCCTTTCCATCACTGAGAGACTAGGCGTAGGCTTGGGTTCCACCTCTGTGTTGTGGACATTGCAAAGATTCGCACGAAGCATTGCGTTTCTATATTTATATGGCGAACGGCTATGGAGTGGAATTCCCTGCCTGCAGACTTGTTCCCTGAACGTTATAACTTGAGTTTTTTCAAGGCGAGAGTGAATAGGCATTATTTAAGTGCGCATGCTCCATCGTCGACCTCATCGTCACTTTCCATCAAGTGAGAAGGAGATCAAATGTGCACTTATATTTTATAAAAAAAATAATAATAATTGCGTTCGTTTGATCCCTTGTTGTATCGTTATTACTAAAGATTTAGTTATGACATTAACGTGTAAGATATTTAAGGATTCACTCTATAAATTACATTCTTTGGAAATACGATTACTTGTAGGTTCCTCGATCGAAAAAAAATCCGAATTAATCTCTAAAAAACAAAATAAACCCTTAGTACAGCGTAATTACTTCACGGAAGGTCATCAGTTTATGAAAAATAACAAAACTACATCTTTTCTATAACGTATACTCCGGACATTTTCAAAATGTGTATTTGTTTTAATAATACGAAGTAAATACCTAAATTTGCTCGCCATCCACGCATACTAGCCAGAGCCGCCACGCTTCTCCCCTGTCCGCTTTAGTACTGCTTCGGCCGTCAGACGTGGAAGTTATGTCGCTTGGACTTACTTTTAAAGCCATATCTTTAAAACCGTGTGCCACAAAGGAATACCTAAAATCAATTAGCGGACAGAAGCTCGATGCTCTTTCTAAAATACAAACCATTTTATGATGAAGATAAAACACGCTGACAGGGTCATACTGCGAACGCCTAATTAAGTAATTCAGTGGCCGTAGCATGGCAGAATATGTGTAATAAACCTCCCCGTGACAATATACAGGGTGTAAATTTGAGACGGGGCAGCAAGGCCGGCTACCTTAATCGTTGTAGTTACAGAAAAACGGTTCTAGAAGACTATCCATGAATTTTGAAGATATATTGATTGGCATTCACAGATTTTGAAAAAATGGTACAGTCAGCAAGATAAAAGGCAATTTATACAAAACTTTTTTTTATGCCATTCGATCCGGTCTCTGGTAAGGATCAATAGTCTCTGTGGGACCAACTGAGGTAAGAGTACTCAAATTTCAGAAATCGCAAAAGAGTTTTAACATACTTTTTGTAGGGACATATCTAGTCATCAGATATCTAGCCTTTGTCGTAAATATAATTAATTTATAGCTCCAACGGGACAGAACTTCTTGCTTCGTGCGGCCATACCGACGACGCAGTTGTACCTGTCTCGACTGCATTACTCCACGAAGTCTGAGGATATAGTGGAGTATATCCGGTTGAAAGCCCAATTCACCCTGAGGGTCGAACGTTTGGAGTCTCGCCACAACGTTAACTTTAATTCGTTTGTGGTGAGGGTCCCAACGGTCCATCTGTCGACCTTCATGCAGGTAGAGTTTTGGCCGAAGGGTGTCATGTTCCGGCGGTTCAGAGGAACGATACATGACACTTGTTTGCGTCTCACGTCGCCGAATAGTAATTCGTGTAAATAGTTAATAAGTTTATATTATTTTATATGTATGTTAGTTTGTAAGGTATGTATCAAAAATAATAATATGTATGTTAGTCTGTAAGGTATTTGTTATATGGGCCTTAGTTGCCTGACATAAATGAATAAATAAATAAAAAAAATATATATATATACATACATCGAATTTTGTACAATTCACTTAATGAAATAATAAAGACTTGGGCAGATACATGCATACAAATATTACTACAAGTGTGAAAATAAACGTGCACTATAAGAAATGTACCGATATTCCAACTAAACATAAAGTCAAATATCCGTAATTTCGAAAACCGATTTATAATAAAACCATTACGTTTTCGAGTATTTCACAAAGACAAAATGAGCTTTTGTTTTTAGTCTTCCTAAAAAAATACATTTGACATTATGTAAATTCGAGCTAACGTTATTTCGGGCAAATGTATTTTCTGACTTCTGATAGGTAATCCCAAGCCGTAAAACGAGCACAACAATATTTTGTTCGATAATGCTAACGCTTAATAAAAAATAATCAAAGCGACTCTATAGTTTCTTTGATCTAAATATTTCAGTCGCTTGTGGTTCGAACAATTGAAAATGACCAAGAAGTTTACATAAGCTTCTTGAAATTGACGTAATGGGTCTCTTTCCATCTTTTGCGCATGCAATGTGTAGAAAAAGAACAGTTAACTATTTGATTATTTTGTGTGCTTTTGTGATTTATATTTACGATTCATTTATATATAAATTAAATAATATAAAACTGTACAAAATAACACTTTTAAATGATAACTATGATAACACAATATATTTGTTTAGTGAAAATATGATACAAAAATCTGTTTTTACACTTTACTGCAGTAATTTTTACAAGTTATTATTATATGGTACTGCATGATTGACAACCGCGCTGTCAGTCGAACAAACGAAGACTGTTGCGCGATTGACGCTCTGTATGTGATATTAACGTCCTATAGTTGCGGACACTTTTCAGCACGAACCCGATGTCCATTTGTTGGTATGTCAATGGTTATTGTGATAAAACTTTGAAATGCCAGTTTATCACTCGAATTTGACAGCTAAATGTGGATATAATAGCTTTATCGCGGCGGCATATTACGGCGGTAGAATTTTTTATAACGGTTTAGGAGCTTAAGACAAAAACCGTTGCGACTTTAAGTAGGTAAGTAAGTAAGTTGGGACAATATTTATTTTACAAAGTCTCTTTGAAAATATACTGTAATAAAAATTTAGGAATGAAATGGCTAGGTATGACTAGGGTTACCATATCGAAATTTGAATAGTCTGGACAAAAAGCTTGACATTTGATAGAAAGCTTGGACTATTTAGTAACATAATCTCCGTACAGAGTACTAAGAAAACCGACCTCAAAAGTACGTGGAATTACCTATTGAAATTCCTCTGTTCGCCACTATACAGGACTTGACACAGGAGATAATAAAAATCGGTTCCGACCACCGAAAGTATATTGAGAGAGACGCCTTGAATTGGAGAATAGCAAAATCAACCATTAAAATAATTGCTCCTTAAGTAAAATTTAGGCGCTATTTATAAAAATCAATCTTCATGCGTGAACAACCACCCTTAGAGGTGGATGATTTTCTTCAAAATGAAATGGGACCACTATGGAGGTACTACCTTTTCAACAAAAAAAATAATCATGAAAATCGGTTCACAAATACCGGAGTTATCGCGTAACCTACATACAAGAAAAAAAAAGAAACATATCGAATTGAAAACCTCCTTATTTTTTTGAAGTCGGTTAAAAATAAGATCGAAAATCTTTCTTTCACGTAGGAGCGTAGAAATGGACAGGCGCCTAGGCAACAAAATGTATGCTGTAAATCAAGTTTTATTATAAAGTGTAAGTATCTTATCATTTACACTGAAAATTGTTACCCTAAGCCGTAAAATCCGGACAAAAACCGAAAGGAAGTTTAAAACTTTTGGGGGTTAAGTAGCTCGCGTCCGTAGGCTGTGTACCCTCGAGACCCTACACGTGACCCCTGGGTGGTGCTAAATAAGCTACAAACTCCGGTGGTAGACCTTGGTCGTGGCTGGTGACCACCCTCTGGGCGAAGCCTAGCCGCCAATCAGCTATAGCTGTGTTCCGGCTTGACGCCCAGAGTAGCCGCTCTAGAGTGAAGGGTCTGTACAGTTGCACTGCACTGA